ATGCACTTTTAAAATAAGACCAATATAGAAATTCGGTAGAGAGAAGATTAAGGTTTAAGAAAAGAATGACAGTGAAACCCCATTACTAAATGATTGACTCTGCCTGTGAGAAGAATACAGTAGGGAGATGCTAGAGTGCTTTCATTCTGAACCCCAGATAAGATCATCTGCGATCAAGGAAGTAGCAGATATGTTGAGGGCGTTCAAATCAAAGGTCTACTATCAGCAAGTGAAGAAGAGTTATTTGTGTTCGTTTCAAAATTAACCCTTTTCTATGATGTATTATCAGAAGATGAACTTTTAAAAGAATTGCCAATTCTTAGAAGACGCCAGAGGGCAGCTGATTTTGAAGTTCACAAAATCATGGACTTGTCAGTATTTGATGTTTTGAAATTCATAGCTGAATTGGCCATTACAAACCACCTTGGGAAAGTCAAAGCTTTCTGACCTGGCTCTACTATCAATTGAAACTGATACCGTGAAGGATATTGATTTTGATAAATTCATTGACAGGTTTGCAGCTTTGAAGACCAGGAAAAATTTTACATAAAGTAAATGTAATGTTAAAAAAACAATAACTTAACGTTGTTATAGTTCTTAAATACACTTATCTCCTGACCTTCAATGAATTTTTTGTTGCTCTTGTCATTGTTATACTGAGAACTTATTTTAAAAAGAAGAAATCCATCGTGGAAATCGGGAGAGGTGGGTTTACCGCACCGGGTGACACCAAACATAGCTACGCCACTGGCACTAGACTAGTTCATCTTTCCTTCCAATGGTTTTCGCTATTCGTCCTATATTTTCACGAACAGTGTGTATAGCATTGCTGTGTTACTATAATAAATTATGTGTCATTGTGTGTGCATGTTAATTATATTTTTAATTTTGTTTTTTTACAAGCCCATTAGACTCACTGAATTTCCATCCAGTTTCATGTTACTTTTTGGATCATAACTTTGTCTTCTGCTTCGCTTGCCAACTAATTATGTGTATGATTTAAAGCGTTTAAAAAGGTTGAATGCTAAGTGGTGAAGTAAATTTGGATGCCAACACTTAGTTTCATTTTACCCTTGACACTGGTGTATTTAATATGCTCTGGGTTATATGCATTTTTAAAAGGTGAAAGGTACTAATAAAGTTCAATAATCTTTTGGGTCGAGACTCAGTCTCTTAGGACCCTGACCATGATCTCCGCAGCACGCCTCATCTGCTGGGCTTCACCGTAGAGATAATCATTATGGCAGGCCTCGGGGTCCCTCCCGTCGGGCCCCATCCCACTACTCAGACACGTGAACACCAAGGGAGCCACTGTCTCTTCTTCTTGGCCGCATAGTCGGCAGTTTGGTTCCTTTCTGTTGTCCAATCTGTGGAGGTAGCTGCGTGTCGCGCAGTGGCCACTCCTCATCCGGGTGATGAGGCTTTGCTCTCCACGTCTAAAATCCCACCAGGAGTCGCTCTTACTCGGTCGCTGCATTCTCCGGTGCAGCTGTCGTCCAGTGACTCCTGAATCCCAACATCCGTGCCATTTGTTCCTAAAATGGTCTTTTAACCAAGTGGTGACTCCCAGTTGGGTCATTGGTTTGTCTGGTTGAGGTTGAGTCGCACCTTCTTTGGCTAAGAATCCACCCTGTCATGAAGCGACGCCTCTGAGTGCGAAGCGATAAATTGTAAGATTACCTTTGAGCCTCTTACGATTATGCTGCCTACTGTCTCCAAAATGGCCTGATAAACTATTGCCAACCCGTGTGGCAATGGTCCTGTTCCAGAGGAAGTTTTCCACCCATGCTGACATGTTGCCAGAAATTCCAAGCTTCTGGAACTTATACATAAGGCCCGTGCGCCATACCCGATCGTACGCTTGCTTGAGGTCAAAGAAAACTGCAACCGTGTGATTTTTATTTTGGAGCTCGTTGGTCATTGATTGGACAAGACGGATCACCTGGTCCATGGGTTGGCGATCCTTTCGGAACCCACCTTGCGTCGGTGTTAAGCACTTATTTCTCTCCAGAAACCAGTAGAGTCGTCCATTTACCATTCGCTCGGCCACTTTTCCCACACAAGACGTTAGCGCTATCGGCCTGAAGCTGTTTGGTAAATGGCCTGGCTTCCCTTCTTTTGGTATCGGGACAACTATTGCCTGTTTCCACTTTTTAGGTAAAATACCTGTAGTCCAGGTTCGGTTAATGAGAGCCAGCAAAATCTCTCTCCCCTGTTTACCCAGGTGGGTTAACATTTCAATATGAACCTTGTTGGGACCTGGTGCTTTCGCTTTCCCACACTTGTCTAGTGCGCAACGCAATTCTTCCATTGTGAGGGGGGTTGTGAAAATATCGGGGTGGGGTACAATGCGTTGGATACGGGCTCCCCTTTCCCTGAGACGGCGGATGTCGCGGTGCTCTTCTGTCTCATTGGCTTTTTTATTCACTTCGACTCGACGCCATTATTGGTTAGAGTGGGCTGCGGATTCCTCGCCTTTCCCGCGCTAGAGAGACTTCCGAGCAGATTCCACACCCTTCGGCCGTCCTGGAGATCGAGTTTTCCACATGCACTTACCCATTTCGATTTTTTTGCTTTTTGGACAGCGGCCCGAACTTCAGCCGTAAGTCGGTTGTAGCCTGCACGTGCAGCAGGTGTTTTCTTTCCCGCTGCCTTTTTTCGGGCTTTCGATTTTAGGATCGTCTTTCGAGCGATCTCAAGGATGGAGCCATTAAACCTCTCGAAGGCGACATCTAAGTCTGAGACGGTTAAGTCGACTACTATTAGTTTGAGCGTGGTCTCGCAATGACTTTCAAATTCGCTCCACCTGGCCTTCCGGAAAGGCCAGTGGCGTTTTTCACAAGTGAATCTCAAGCAGTATGGACAGATGGTCATTCCCGATTTCTGCCAGGACTTCGAGATTCTGATTGTCCGCAAGGTCTGCGGATATGAGCGTCAGATCTGGCCGGGACTCCGTGCCGTGTCCGATGTGAATTAGAGTGGGCGCACTCTTTTTGTCCTGGAGTCTGATGAGATTGGTCTCGAGACAGACCTCCTCCCGACGCGTTTCTGTCGGAATAACCCCACATGGGGGATTTGGCATTAAAATCTCTTACAATGATCGTCCGCTCAAAGATCGTCTCCCCTCGGGTAGGGATCGTGATCGTATTGCTAGGAGCGTTGTAAATATTCGTCACGGCGAACGTTTTCCCACTTTTGGTAACGTTAACCGACAGGGTGTCAGTGTTCGAATACCTTTTCGTTTCAATGACCTCCACCGCGAGGTCATTTCTAAACGCTGTGGTAATTCTTTGGCAGCGACCGCACTTTCAGTGGTACAGTGAGTAACCAGCAGGAGAAAAGGCTTGCCGCGGAGCAACGTTTCTTGAAATAGAGCTACAGCCACATTGCATTCGTGGAGTAATTTGGTTGCTTCGTGCGATTTCTGCCTGATACCACACACATTCAGTTGGAGAACAACTAGGGAATTTTTTGGGTGTCCCTTCTCACCCGTACGCTCACGAACAGTAGCTTGTTGGCCTCGGGCGCGCCTGTCATGCGTCACACGCGCGAGAGAGGACCTCTTCTCCTTTAGGACATCCGTGGGGAGGGGGTGCAGTCAACACACCTCACCAGTAACTCTAATCAGTCCCACCCTGCCTCCCAGCAGTGGGTATCGAGGGCTTTTTAAGGTCGCCACGGTCGCCAGGGATGGATCACGTCCAATCCCTGCCAGTCGAACCTGCGTTAATGATTTGTTTTTCATGGTCATGAGTAAATGGGTTTGGGCAGAAAGCTTCCACTCATGGAGGGGAAGGTTTTGCGTTGCCTCCCCCGTTGCCCAGTGAGTCATTCGGTCGGGACGTTTCCGGTCAGGACAGGTGAGACTTTTAGATTCGGGAGAGGGTCCCTACTAATCTTCCACGCCACGTAGAGGCAAGTCTCATGTGACACCGCCGCGTTTCCTTGGTGGTGTGAATCGCCGGCCTAGAGGTGTTCGGTTGGGTCATTTTCGAAGAGTGAAAGGTACAAAATTTATATTTTCGTTTCATGCTCAAATAATGATTTTTAAATGATATGCACATGTAATAAACATTAAACCTTTATACATTTGATGGCTTTATTGCTATATTAGGGATGGACGACTCAGAAAAGGAGATGAATTATTAATGATTAATGGACAGAGTTTAATTGGAATGACGCATCAAGAGGCCGTGGACGTGCTAAGAAATTCTCCATCTGTTGTGCAGCTGGTTGTAGCAACCAAGGTAAGATCACTGCTATTGTGCATAAATGAAAAAAATCTAAAGTAAAATAAATATACACAAAGATTAAATAGTATATTGATTCAAATTACCACGGTATTCATATGAAAACTTTTTTATTTTAAGATGCATTTTACTATATTCACAATGAGTATAATAATTTTGTTTAAACAATTTTAATTCCAACTATACAAAAATTGGTCAATTTGGGCTTCGCTAATTTCTTTTTAGAAGAGAGTCAGTAGTTGAGAGATGTGAGAAGTAGGGTCGAGAGTATGGATAGGGAGTTGTTAGAGAGTGCGGCGTTTTTGTAGTTTAGTGAAGAGAAAGTAGAGCCGATTTGGAGGAGTTTGGGGGGGGGGGGAAGATGGGGAAACGTAAATCGTCATAGATGATATATCCATGTCTCCATTGATCTTCAACATGTATTTTACTAGTAAAATATAGAATAGATATTATATATTTATTAAATTGTAACATTAATTAAATAATGATATATCCATGTCTCCATTGATCTTCAACATGTATTTTACTAGTAAAATATAGAATAGATATTATATATTTATTAAAATGTAACATTAATTAAATAATAGTTTACTTTTAAAAATATTATTTCACTTTGTTGTTACAGCTAAAAAAATCTACATCCGTGGCAACTCCTACTGAAAGTACAGTTGATTTTCAAAAACACGATAACTTTAATGGAGACCACGCTGTAGGAACTGACCAAAAGATCAAGAAAAACATAGATGAAGTAAAGGTTATATGTCATCAGAGTTCCAGCGACTCACAAGATTCTCCCTCATCAGCTGAGCTTGACACAGTGGATGACCCTTACAGGTTAATTTAAAAAATAAAAACGCCAACAATTAAAGACCGTAACACATTTTTTTTTAAAAACTTAACGGGATAATGTTTTTTTTTTTTTTAATTTCATAACAAAATTGAACACAAACTAGAATATTAAAAAATCAGCATTTATTTCATGTATAACTGTATTTCTTTCTCTAATTGGTTCTTTCATTTAAAATGGAGACCTTTTTTTTTTGGCTTGCGATTAAAAACAAAAACCTGGGACACTAAAATAAAGCTCATTTACAGAAACAAAAACCTATTTGGGCCGCACTAAGTCAAGTCTTGCCAAACATGGATTTTCAAGTTAAAAAAGGACTTATCTCTTCTCTTAATTTAATAACAAACCCAACAAGAGAAATTAAATTTGAAGTTCAAAAAAACTCTTTAAAGTTTAATTCATTCAGCATAAATACATTAAAAAACACAGCAAAAAATATTAGAAAGACATTATCCTTCTCAATTTTCAGACTGCAGAATTTGGTTTCAACGTGCAACAATGATTTCACCGATAGTTCGCTTCAATCAAGATTACCTGAGCTTGTGGCACAAACTCCTTGTGGTACAATTATGAAATGGGAAGAACTCTTTGAGGTAACATGACGATGCATTGAACATGAATGTAATGAATAATTATTTTAACAAAGACCCGCTTTCACTAAATCCATGGATGTTGTTGGGTTTAATACAAAGCATTCAACGTTTCATTTATATTTTTTTGCTTGATGTATATTTATTTAGCTTCGTGGCCCTCTTCCCCGTTTTATTTATTTTAAAAACAGCTCTTTTCGTATAGATAAAGTCTTTTTTCACCTAAATGTTCGTGGCCGCCAAAAACTATGCTGTGGTAGGCACGCAAAAAAAATTCAAATTTAAATAACCTCTGCGTAAGTACAGTTGAGTTTTCCACCCCCACCCCCAATATATATAAATTATTTATAGACAATTATGAAGTCACAGTAATTAATGTGTCAAGGGTGTTCTCTATTGTACAGTGGTGTCCAAAATATTTCCCATTTCAAACCAATGTGATAGGACTCGACGGTTAGCAGACCTGGTGCAAACCAGTACCGGAAATCTATCTTCCACCAAACCCCCACCCCGCACTCCAACATGGACACTGGTCAATTCTGCATGTAATTGCTTGGCAGTGTTTCCTTCAATTTTCTCTGGGCAGGACGTGGCAATTCAGATTTCTCGAAAAAAAGAGGGGGGGGGGGGGGGGGGGGAAGGTTGCGATTCGGATGCCCCCTTTTTTTGTGGAGGGAGGAATTTTCAAATAAATAGCGTGCTAAGTATCATTAAAAATGTAGCGTCATTTTAATGGATTACACGTGATACTAATCATGGGCGGGGGGGGGGGGGGAGGGGAAGGTTGCGATTCTGATGCCCCCTTTTTTTATGGATGGCAGAATTTTCAAATAACTGCATAATTTTTATTGAGGAAGGGTGTAGCAAAAATTTTGCATTTAAGTTATCTAAAATTTTATCGAAAGTTTTTGGTTTTGTTAAACCTTTATCGGTTTTATGAATACGTGTTTAGACCTGTTATCGGATTTTACAATTGCGTTCTCATTTTGATTCACATTGGAGGGTCAGATTGACATATTTTATAAGATCTAAAGCAGCAAATTTTTAAAACCGATTGCTAATTTCTGTTTATCGATATGTGTCCGTCCATAAAGTACGTCATGCTTTAGGACCAGGGGAAAGAGTCACAGGAAGTGCAACAGGCGGAGAGGGTAAAAAATCACGTGTACATGTAACATCAATCATTGAAAAAAAAAAAATTGTACACTTTCTTCTTTTGTTCACCTCTCATTAATGAAATACAAATTTTAAGTAGGCTATAATCTCTACATTTAATTTAACAAAAATAATCTATTAAAATTGATGCCATATTCTTCTACCAATTTTGTTGTCCCCACTGTTCTACCAGCTATGTTGAAGAACTTGTTTTACAGCTATTCTGCCCAACTCTCTTACCAGCTTTGTTGCTGATACATGCATTTCTATTGCCTAGTTAATAAGATGGTTTAAATGACAATAATAAATACCTTACTTTAAATACATGGCCCGCAATTAATCACATTTCGATTTAATAAAAGTAACATTTACTCAGTGGCAACGTATTTGTTGTTACTATGGTATGAGGTGTATGAGCTGAAGGATAACATTTTTTAGATATGGCAGTTTCGAAAAGGTATCCAGCGAATGACAACCTTAGTTGCACGTACTTTAAGACGATACCTCCTAAGGGATTGGTTGTCACACACAATAGTATGTTGTCACATAATTTCACCTTTATTTACTGCAGTTTAAGCATATGTATTTAGACAGACTATAGTAATTCATATTCCGAGGCACTAAACTTCCTTAAAATGAAATGTGATACCCCTTCAAGTTAACATGTAGCCTACTTTTAGAATAAATATCATATCATATCATATATATATATATATATATATATATATATATATATATATATATAAAGGTGAATGTTTGTGGGTTTGCTCCACATACGTTTTTACATGGATTGATGGATCTTGACTAAACTTGGCACATATATCCATCATTATCCAGAAGGAACTCTTAAAAGGTTATGAACTTTTTATAACATTCCATTTGGGGCCGGTGGGCCTGAATTCGTTTTTTTTTCCTTATACGAGCTGTATAAAAATAATTAGAAACAAATACTCCTACATGAGTAGATGGATCTTGACCAAACTTATTATACATACACATGATCATCCATATTCAAATACCGAAGGGTACTGAACTCATAATATCAATTTCTGGGGTCGTGGGCCCCAGTTCAATTTCCCTTATATAACCTATCTGAATATCAATATGGTTAGACAACGGTATAGGTTCTATGTGAATTAATGGACCAAAGCCTATCTTTGCTCATTACGCTTCTAAGTCCCTATTGAAATATCGGTGGATTTAAAACTAGTAATATCCAATCTAGAATTTTCCAGTTCGATAATTTTAAAAAGCTATATCTATGGCATTTTTAAACCGATTTTAATGGGACAAATTTTAAATTTTAACTCTATTTTTTATCCGTCTGACATTTTTAGGGATGCCTATCGCAGGCATAACTAAATCGGTACAGTTGTGGAATGGGCCCCCGGGGCCCCTTGATTAACTTAAAAGAAAAAGGATTATAATTATAGCATTTTTAAATATTTTTATTGTATTCAAAAAATAATTAGAAAAGTAATTTTTACACATGTTTCGAGCAGTTTATTTAATTTAATCTAGAATATTCCAGAAAGCTCTAAATTGTTACAAGGAAAGTTAGGTATTTTTGTTATATAGTGGGATCTAGGGAATATTGAGGTGTTACTTCTATGTATGTCTATATTGTCCCGTAGTTTACTGTTCTCTTAGTAACACTGAGTAATTTTGTTTTAAATTCGGGATAGAAATCAAAGGGGTTGGGAATCCATCATAATCTTTATCAGTGTTTCTTTCGGAAATTCCCCTCCCCCCCCCCCGGGGGGGGGGGGGGGGGGCGTTGCGGTTTTGGGGGGGGGGGGGGGCAGTGCAAGTTGGTTTATTGTTGGACATAATTTTGTTCCGAGGGGGGGGGGCACTTGGCTTTCCCCGGAGGGCACTACCCCCCGTAGATATAGCTGAAAGAAACCCTGATCTTGATCCTAATGATATCAGGATCCCACCGGAAAGCGGGATTCCACCGGGATCAGGATCTCAACATTGAAAATATCCACCGGGATCGGGATCACACCGGGAAACGAGACAGCGTCGGGTGTCAGCATGGGATTGGGGTCCAAATGGCATCGGGGTCTCACCAGAATAAGGTCCTAATGCAATCATGGGCCACGCCGAGTATATCGACTAGCATTATGATAAAAAATGCAATCATATGTTTAAAAAAATCAAACATCTCTAGATTACTTTTATACACATTTAAAACAACAGGTTTTTATTTATATGTGAGATTTGGAAAAAAATGCATTGAAGAGCTCTAGATTCAATTATTATATACATTTAGAGATTAGTAACTATATATGCAATAAAGAAATCTCATTAATTACATTTTTTAAAAATTATATAAGACTCTACTTTGTTAATTTGCAAATAACAGATTAGAATGATCTTTTGGCGATATTATAAAGGATGTCCGAGAAAGTGTATGCTTTATATCACCCACAGGTCGCGGGATATCTGTATTTCCACCAGCATATCTTCTGTTATTCCCCGATTAAGTATAAAATGGCGCAAAATTAAATTCAGGTATACACAAAATGCATCCCAGAACCGGGACCATTTAATATACATAATAAGTAGTGCCAAAATAAAATAAGTTTATGTGCTGTAGGGTTGGGTGGGTGAGGTGGTGAAGGCGTTGGACCAGAGCTTGCACTTGGTGCCATAACGCCCAATTTTGGCGCTAATTAGGCTAATTGATTCCCTGGCCTCTCCCTTTTGAAATGCAACTCCCAGGATCGAATTTTTTGTAAGTAACACCGATTTCAGGTAGTATAATAATAAAGTTGCTAAATAAAATGAGGCCTTCATGTCAACCATGACATACAAAATTTGGGCAGGATATCCAATACTAGCAATAACCGTTAAAAGCAAAACAACGCTCCGAATGGATGTCAGTTCTTAACATTTTTGCAGCGGCGCAACCCCTTTTGATTTCAAAAGATTTCAAGCACCCTCATCTCGATTTCAAAGCAAGTTTAAAAGTTTACTTTAATCTCAGTAAGACTGACGGGAAAAAAGAATCAAATTAAAAGGAATGCGTTATATCTATTATGTTTTAAATGTATATTTTATTACAAACCATTTACAATTTGCTAGTTACAATTTTTTAAAGATGTCTTATTTACATATTTAATTTTGCTTATAAAAAAGAGTGCCTTTACATATTAAAGAAACATTATTATCTATAATTGATGCTATGCTTGAAGTGTACATTTCTATTTTTTCTTCTTTGGTTTTTAAAGAAGTTACTGGTAAAGAAAATAAAACTATCTGGCTAATAAAAAGATATGTAGTAAATAAATCCAAATTATCATTGTCTGTTAATAAAATATGTCAGTTATAACTAAATTATAATTGCTTTTTTACAGAAATTCCAACCTGTAGAAGATGGTACAGCACCTCGAATGCAAGAAAATCTCAACTTACACCATAAATCAATTACAATAAAAGTATTTAAAGGTAGTGGTGGAAAAGGCCTAGGATTCAGTGTTGTGGGTGGCATTGACTCCCCCAAAGGAAAGTTAGGTATTTTTGTTCGACGAATATTCAGCCATGGTGTTATTGCAGATGATGGGCGCCTAAAGGAAGGTAATCAGTTATAACATAAGCTTATGAAATCATTTCTACGTTGTAATCAAAACGTTTGAAAAACTATGTTCACATTTTTTTTAATGAATCTCTTGTGGACCATATGATTTTTAAATGCAAATTTATGATTTCAGGTGATGAAATCCTAGAAATCAATGGCCAATCCTTATTTGGTTTAACCCACCAAGAAGCATTGTCAAAGTTTAGATCTCTCAGGAGAGGAAATGTCACTCTTACTTTCAAAGCTAGAGCTATGTCTCCAAGAGCAAGGTAGCCGTCATATAACATTTACTTTCTTGACAAAATTAAACAGTGTTTGTGAAAACTGCATCATTTTAAAATGATAATGATTCTCTGCTTGAACTTTCTAAGGATGAATTAGCTCATAATAAAACATCAACGCGTATTTATTGGCTGTAATTAGTAGCGCAACCAGAGAAGGCAAAAAAAGGGGGGGGGGGTGTAACTTACAGCTTAAGGGAAAATTACTTCAATTTTGCACACAACTGTGGATTCTGCGTGCTATCCTAGGATGAATTAGCTCATAATAAAACATCAACGCGTATTTATTGGCTGTAATTAGTAGCGCAACCAGAGAAGGCAAAAAAAGGGGGGGGGGGGTGTAACTTACAGCTTAAGGGAAAATTACTTCAATTTTGCACACAACTGTGGATTCTGCGTGCTATCCTTTTTCTTAGTCTAAGATCGTTTGCACCCACTCCCCACGTTTTCTAGCCTTGCTGACTATGCCAGTGGCCAATTATTTTGATTACCCAATCAAGTGTTTTGTTAAGTTATCGTAAATAATCAGTCCTTTCGTTGTAATTATTTGTATTGTGTACTGTAGTGCTTAATCTTTTGCAGCTCCAGAAATTTACCCCGAGAATCGCCAGATGGAAGTCCCGTTTCAACTCCAAATCATTCACCTTATGAATCTCCTCGTCACAGCCTTTCAGATGTGTCTTTTAATATTATCGATAAAATTGATTCTAAAACTTTAGTAGAAAGAAATAAAGTGAATCAACAAAATGACAATCTCTTTAATATCATGAGTAAAATTCCTATACCATATACTAGTGAAGAAAACAAAGCACCTCAAGATATCAAACAAACTACTTTAGAAACAGAAAAAGATTTGCAGAAGAGTAAAAGTTTACCTCCAAAACCAATAACATCTAAGAAATTAATGGAAAGAGATCAAACCAATATAGAAACTCCATTAAAAAAGCACTCACAAAAGGAAATACAAATGGAAGAACATTCAAATATTGATGAGTCTGTTGGCCAGGCAAGAAATAATTCAGATGAATTACAAAGAATGAAAATAGTTGATTTGCATCAATGCAACACACAGATCCAAGGTCAAAACCAAACAAATACCATTAAAGAACATCGTCGTCAGCTGAACCAGGTCAACCCTGGTCTGCCCCAAAGTGTAACACTTACCTCAAAACAAGTAATCAAAACCACACAACATAGCTATTTACCAGTTTATAATGAAAAGAAAAAAGAACGGATCTCAGATCAAGTGAAAAGTTCAGAATTTGTCGAGCACCAAATAGCATCATCGATTGTACACACCAACTTTGTTGTCAGTTCTCCTAAATCTAGTTCAGTTGTAAAGATGCAGGTAAAGCCAATAAAAACCCATGTCGCCCAAAGTTCTCCAGTTATGGGTCTGCAGAGCTTCCGACCCACTGGCACAGCTGTAACATATCCATCAACTGACACTAACGTAATAGGAAGTCATAGAGCAAAACATACTCCTAACAGCCAGCGCAAGAAACATGAAAATTATGACATTCAAAATATGTCAGACAAGAAATCAATGAGTCAAAGTTTCCATGCTGGAATCAAACCTAATGGTGATTCAGAGGCTAAACTACAAAAAGAATATTGTTTAGACAGCCCCACAACATCATCTAGGTTACAGCACAGGTCCACATCTCAAAAGTCTATGGAAAGAGTTGACCAGCAGCTACATGAAAATAGTAAACAAATTGATATAGCTTCCACTATTACTGATCAAAGGAATAGTTGCCATTCGACCATTGCAGTTACAAGAAACCAAAACCAAACTGAAAATGAAGTTACATTTTGTTCCCAGTCTAAAACACTTCCTAGATCAAACAACCAGACAGCTTTTGATTGTGACCCGCTTCCAATATACAGCAATATTAATTTTAATGAGGAACTTATAGAATATAGCCCTAAACAATCAATCAACGATGCAATGATACATTTTGTTAGGGCACCTATTCAAAAAAAAGATTATTTGAATGGTGGCTGCTATTCTTCACTACCTCGTGGTCATCAACACAATCATAAATACTTGAGGCCTGCAGATCATTTCCATTCTGTTCATGGCCAACATCAACAACAAAGTCAGTATGACAACTTTATTCCTCATCAAGTTTTGTGTACAGAAAACGACAAGGCCCAACAAAGTTTCACCCCTCCCAATGATTACTCACAAGAAAGATCATTGCTGCATGAACTCACAAATGCAACTGGTCTATCTCAACTGCCCATGAAACCATTTGATGATACAGCATTAGCATTCTTTCAGCACAGCCATACTTTTTCAAGGTTAGCATCAACCCCAAATCCTCATCTCTCTACAGACAACACATCTAAATTGTCCTCTTTCGGCTCACAGTTTCAGACTTTTGGCCAGAGTAGCATCATGCCTCCACCAAACAGCACTTCATTTAACTCTTACACACAAGCTTCTTTTTATCAGTATAAATCAAAAGAATCTAGTGCATCCTTTCATGAAAACTCCATGACAGAGAAACCAACTCATCGGCAATGTTTGGAAGGCAAGACTCCTTTAAGTCAACACCAGACTGGAGCAATGGCATCACTCAAACTCCCGGGAATGGATCCTTTGAAGGGAATGCCAGAAACAAGACACAAGAGTAGTTTGGCGAAAACAAAAATGCATTCTATGAAATCGTGTCCTCAAGATCTTAGTTGGGACCTCAGTTATGACAATAGCAAGCATTTCAGTTATGACAATAGCAAGCATTTCAGTTATGACAATAGCAAGCATTTCAGATTGGAATCGTCTCTTTTTAAAGGTAATTATAAGACCTTGGTGCTTATAAATCAAATTTTTGCTTAAATTTCACTTACACAATTACTTTGCATGGTAGGGGGAATTTTCAAAAAATTAGTCTTTATCTGCCATTAGAAACAGAACAATGTAAATTATTAATGGGACAAAAATGTAAGTATTACATTTAAAAGACAGCATTTCACATTATTGAAATGAATTATTGCAAGTAATTTTCTTTTCTATTTCTATTTTTTAGAAAAAGCTATCAATCTTGGAATCAATATTGTCAGAAAGACAGTGGAGGGTGTCAGCAACATCTTCATTCAAGATATCCTTCCTGGTTCAGCTGCAGATAAAGAATGCCTCTTGAGGTAAGTCCTTTTGTGTCTTTAATGGTAGCTTAAATCAAACATGAGTAGTAACACACACGCACACACACAAACTGAAATGTTCCATCTAATTCACCTATTTCCAAATTGTTCTTCTTAATTGCAATAGGAGAGGTGACTGTCTCTTGAGTGTCAATGGGGTGTTGATGAAAGATCTTACCCTCCTTGATGCACATCAAATGTTTCGTAACCTACCACCTGGACGTGTTCATATTCTGGCAGTCAGAGATAGAGTAAGTTTAAATAATTGTTTAATACTTTTAGGTATTTTTGCATCAAGCTATTTCTACTAAATTGTATGCAGTAGATTCTAAAGTATTTTAAACATTACTATTATTCGAAAAAAAACAACAACAACTTAAGAGCACTTAAGACATACTATACATATACTAAATTAATTACCGAAGTAATGGTTAGCACTATTTACAATATCTTACTGTCCCAGATTAAGAAGTAATGTTTAGGTGTTCTCTGGTAGCCTACACAAAATAGGAAGCTTAAAGAAATGCCATTAGGCTTTTAAAGACACCTAATTTTTATTCAGTTTCAATTTGTTTCTATTCATGACAGGGTCATTCCTAGGAGCTGCATAAACAAAAGACAAGACATAACTAAGCTTTAACAAATGAACGGGGATTATCAAAAATTATATATGTGTTTTAACATTGTGAATAATGTTCTTTGCTATCAATACAGGATTTCATTGAAATAGTTCTGGATCAAATATCCAAAATATATTTCAACTACTAAATGATTACTTTAGCCTGTGTTTTAAAACCAGGTAAAAGATGAATGATATTTATTAATAAATAGTCAGCATATTTACATAGTCAAATAGTGAATTTTTTAGTTATATAATTCATTTAGTTATATATTTTACTAATTTAGTGCTAATAGTTTTAGGTCATGTACTGTACACTTATTAATTAAATCTTGGCTAAAAATTAGATTACTTATCTCTGAAATGAATGATATTTTGAAGTAATTACAAATGAAATCCCCCTATAATCTTCATTCAATCTATAGATGATGTCAATCATGTGATGTGTGTACGCTGCAAAAAAAAAATTATGTAAAAAGGGGAGATAATAGCAAATCAACCTTAACTACAGTACAGTATGTCATGGATATTGCTGAGTTCTGACCAGCGCAAAAAACATTATGGTTCAATGATTATTGAAAGAATACATACAACTGATGTTGTTGTCATGATTTTAAAATGAATATTGATAACTAGTTTAATGCATTTAAATTTAATCACTGAAAGCGAAAGTGAAAACAAAATATGTTTAAAGAATATTTTAAAAAACGAAAATAAAAAATGGTCATTAGGATTAGGAACTTGCACTTATGAGACACAAACAATTTGATTAAATAATGTAAAGAAAATAATAAGAGTGGGCAAAAGTCCTTAACGAAAACAAAGATCAGAAGAATGGAAAGATAATGGGGTGTAAGTAAATATAAAATTCGCCAGGAAATAGACATAAAGTTATGTAGAATTGTGAATTTGGTTCATATCGTATGGCTCAACTACAAAATCTTTTTATTGATTTGGTTTTCCATATACATTTGATCAGTGCCTTACTCGCATACCAGTAACTCCATTGTCTAATATTCTATTATAGTTGGAATTATTGAAATGTTTAGAAACGGTAATAAGGGATTGTTTATTGATGTTGTTTCTGATGAAGGTGTTTTGACCTTGTTAGGAAATCTCTAGTCAGAGTCTTGTGAATATCCAGGTAGGATAGAAATAAAACTCTAGTCAAATCGACAAAACTTGCACTCAAGTCCTTGGTAGAACGCCCTCTTCTTGGAGTAAAAGGATCACAGTCAAAATGGGAATTGGGCTGGAGTCGGTAAACTAGCCTTATTGTTCAGAATGAAACTCTTTAATGAGTTATGTCAAACCTCTGTGAAGCTAGTATGGACATCTGGAAATGAGCAAAAACGTTTGGCATTTGAAAAAATGTGTCCAGATGTATAATGAGACGTACAATCGGAGACTTTGTGTGGTGAACCAGTAGGCGGGGTCTTCTCAGTTTTCTTCTTGAGTCTCAGACAATCATCTCGCTTATGATCTTCCAATTTGCAATAGGCACAAATGTTTCTTGAACTTGGTTATTTTGTGAAAGACTTTTGTGACATTTTTTGAGGTGTGCTATAATTTGATAGCGCTACTCGATGGTGTTTTTCTTGTTAGGTGTCCAATTGGCTCTTGGAGAATTGATGCAAGATGGTGAAGATGTAAGCCAACACCATCTTTGCAACTGTCTGCAATATGTCTCCATAGTTCCACACGACAACACATTTTAAAGTCACTTTTAGTTCTCTTTATTTTCTCTCTGAAGTATCTAGCGCCATTTGCTTGAACCTTTGCTTTATACTAGGATTATTTTGAACTTTCGAGGTCAGATTATCTTCATCAACATCTTGGAAGATGATTGAATCTCTTACAGTCTTATTAAAAGTGGCATGGGAAATAACTCTTTTTGAGAAAATTTGTTTAATGCCTCTACTGATGGGTTGTTTACATCAAAGTCCATTTGATACAGGTAAATTGTAAGAATATATTTTATTAATTTACAAGAATAGTGAGCACATTTATACATTTTCATTTTGCTCTTGATAATTTGTAACTGGCTATGCTTTTGATATCGTTAAATGGTATCGTGCCAATAATTTGCTAACACTAAATATTTCACTGACGAATCATCAATTTGTTATTGATGGTAATAAAAAGGTTGAATGCATATTCACGGACGAACTCCCATTTTCTTACGTACCGTTACACTGTTTAACATCTGTTGTTTTAAAATGGCTCGTTAAAAAAACAGTACATTTTAAAGGGACGATACGCTTATGAAATTCAATAAAGAAAGACGATACCCCAATTAGTGATAATTACTAGTAACAAATTATGTATACAATTAATTATGATATAAATGTCAAAATCAAATATATAGATATAACAACTCAATAAATTACAGCACGTGAAAACGTATAATAATAGAAAAGTAAAAAAAAAAATCACAAACACATAAGGAAAAACTTGTAAGTCTTGAAGGTCTCTTGTTACTCTGTGGCGTCTGCCGGTCACAGTCGACCTTCAGTGAATCATAATTTTCTTGAATAGAAAGACTAGACATTTAATCGTCAAGTGAGTATATCTTATCTCTATGTAGAGCCTGCTGGAAATCCGATCAGCTATTAAACCGTCTCGTGCAATCTGTTAAACTTGCAATTACCCACTTTATCGCTTCTCACCTTTTGGTTAAGATGAAAAGATAATAATTGATGGACTGCATTCAAGTTGTGTAAAAGAAATATAAGAAAAAGGTATGTTAGACTTGAATTTATCGACAGGACAATAAGATTTGGACGTTTCGGCTTAGAGCCTTCTTCAGCAAACAAGACAAATCGAAGTAAGAAGTAGCAGAGCACAGAAGAAAAAAACTTTTGAGATTTCCTTTGTTGTTGCCAGAAGTAGGATTAAAGGAAGGAAAAGAATATAAATATTAGTACTGTGAAATATAAAAACAAGAGAACGATTATATATTTTTTAAATGAAGTGGCTATTCGCACACGGGTACCAGAAGTGAGAGGTTGGGATTAAATAACTATTTCAAATATTATTGTTGGGTTTGTAAAACAAAATGAGGTATCAAATGAAAGATAATTGAATGGACTATATGTTTGTAAACTTACTTCTTCAGTTTAACTAAAATAAACTACCACAAATGACATCCGAATAGAATTTAATCAAATGACCCGGACACGCAGCGCGCCATTGGCACCCTTTGGTTTCAAGAGTCAGCTCTGTTGACTCCCATATTTTTTTAATAGCACGCATGCTGACCTTGCCTTTCCGATTCTAGCCCTGACTTTCGCTTCGGATCCACCATTTTTGTCAAGGGTGCTGCCTAAGTATTTGAAAGCCTCCACGTTTCCAATGCAAATCCTGCCGGAAAGATATGCTCTTGGTTGGCTGAGTTTACCTTTATGATCTTTTTTGATTTTATGTATATAAAGCAATATCCATTGACACCCTCTATTTCTATCCTACACCCCAATGAAAATTATCGCTAATTTTTGTGATAATAAATACACTTCCTAGAGGCGTAGCTAGTATTAGTGTCAATATAGGGCCAAATATTTTGGCTGATCTCCCTTTCACGTTACAAACTGTGCATTTTTTCGAAAATGCCGCACCTCCATATGCATAAAAAGTGATCGTCACTGGGTGAACAACCTCATCCTCCTCCTAACTACACCCCAGAAAGGGGCGCAGCTAGTGTGTTTGGCGTCGGGGGACGTAATTTATTTTTACGCCACCTTAACCCCCTAACTCTGAAACTAATTATTGTCCATTAATATCATAAAAGCCCATTTTGGTGACGCGTCTAGTCTGGCTCTCCGGGACGTATGTCATCGGACACCCTTTAGCTACTCCTCTGGCCACTGCCCACTGGCACTGACTCGCCTCCGAAAATATAAGATATCTCCCCTCCCCGGGGAAAATGTCTGATAGAAACAATGACCCCAATACCCACCCTATGGACGCTCCTGCCTATTACTTAAAATGTACACTTTTTACTTATAGTAGTATAAGTAAAAAGTGTACATTTTAAACATCGCAACAAAACGATGGCTGAGTGTAAATACATTTGTTTGATTTTTTAAAACATATTATAGCAATGACTGAAAATAAATTAACAGTTTTAAAATGACCCAAACATTTTATATTTTCGAAGGATAATAAATACTAGACATAGTAAAGCATTAGAGTAGCATTTCAGTTGGTAGATTGACAAAATGGGCAAGCCAAAAGTTTCTTTCCACTAAATTCAGCTCCTGTCTGAGTTGGTAGTTTGACAAAATGGGCAAGCCAAAAGTTTCTTTCCACTAAATTCAGCTCCTGTCTGCCACTGATCCATCCATGTACACGGCGTGTCACACGGTCACACGGTGTAACCTCACTTTGTTCAGCAGTTCTCAACAAGGGCCATAAGGTCATCTAGGAATTCAAAGTATATATGTCTCGAGGTCTGCGCAAATTTCTATTAAAAAGAGATTTTGATTTGATAAAAATAGCTGTTTACACACACACAAACATGTATATATATGGCAAGCAGTAGGCCCGAAAAATTGAGTAAAGTTTGTAAAATGTTAGGAGCATAAAAAAATTGAGAAGCACTGACTGGGTGATCTCCTCAACCAACTAGAATTGTGAAGGCGAAGTTATAAGGAAATGGGGATCAAAACTTGACTTTAGGATCAACTTTTTTCCAATTCGAAGAGTCGTTGAATGTAAGTACGACTGTTGTTAGATTTTATTATAAAGTTCATTCATAAAAATAGTAGTGAACATGTAAATATATGTATGTTATAGATAACGAATTAAGTGTGTTTTAAAAAATCTTACGTTTATACTGGAACAACACATTCTAATTTCTATTTGTGTGGCGAGTTGAGTATGAAATATGCACATAAATGTTTATTTATCCAATGGGTTTTAGATTCGTCGTCGATTTCCCTTTAAGTTATTTGGTTAAACACAGCAAAAGGTCATTAGGTCAAAAGTGTGTCATGGTAGGCCGCTTGTGGCTTTGTCATTGAAACATTTGACGTGATAAAACGTTGTTAAACGAGGG